TAATCTGGAGCATGGAGACTGGGACTGGAGTGAGATTTAATCTGGAGCGTGTACCTCATATGAATTAAGAATCTCAGTAATTTGTGGCTGGAAAAAGATGTTATGGAGTGTGTAATGTGATGGAATTGACATGGGATTGGTCTGTAATGGATTGTAATGGGAAATAATGGAGTTGATGATGCTGGATTGTGATTTGTTGGCTGTAAGAGAGAGGGAAGTGGAATGTGCTTTAACATGGATCTGTGCTGGGAAACGAGCTGTGATGAGAGTGTGGAATTGACAGGGTTATGCTGGGCTGGAATGAGGCATTCTCATGGAGAATCACTACAACCAGATGAATTGTTTGGCTGTGGAGGGTTATAATGAAGGTCTGTAATGGTGAAGACCTGTAACTGGATGTTGCCCAGACTCTTGGAGACTGAGATGCTGTGCTGTGTTCTGTAGATGCCTATACTATGAAGCTGTTTGACCGGAGTGTTGACCTGGCTCAGTTTAATGAGAATACACCTCTTTACCCCATCTGCCGAGCTTGGATGAGGAACAACCCCAGCCTCCGGGAAGGAGCTCACAGCCCGAGTCCCCAACCACCTGCAGCACTGGAGGATGAGGAGGTGAGGAGCTGTCTCACACCAACATGAGTTTTCTTGAGGATCTAAGTATGAGGGTAGATAAGGGGGAACCAGTGTGGAGTTCTGAAAGTCATTCACCGAAGTTCATTTTTCATTCTTGGTATGTAGCCATGCTGACAACTCTTTCCTAATTCAAGAATTAGCTTTATTGTCACATGTACTCACATGTTTACAAGTCCTTGTCCTTGAGAAGGTGGGGGTGAGATGCCTTCTTGAACCGCCACAGTCTGTGTGCTGCAGTTTGACCCACAATGTCTCTTGGGGAGGGAATTCCAGGATTTTGACCTAGTGATACTGAAGGATGGTGAGTGGCTCGGAGGGAAACTTCCAGGGGGTGGTGTTCCCATGTATCTGCTGCCCCTGTCCTTCTAGATGAAAGTGGTTGTGTGTTTGGAAGGTGCTGTCTGAGGATCTTTGGTGAATTTCTACAGTGCATCCTTTAGATAGTACACGCTGCTGCTACTGAGCACTGGTGGAGGGAGCAGGATGTTTGTGCATCCTGCTTTATCCTGGACAGCGTTGAGCTTCTTGAGTGTTGTTGGAGCTGCCCCCATTCAGGGCAAGTAGGGAGTATTCCGTCACACTCCTGACTTGTGCCTTGTCAATGGTGGGACAGGCTTTGGGGGGAGTCAGGAGGGGAGTTACTCGCTGCAGGATTCCCAGCCTCTGACCTGCTTTTGTAGCTGCTGTGTTTATGTGGTGAGTCCAGTTGAGTTTCTGGTCAATGGTAACCCCCTCTAGATGTGGATAATGGAGAATTCAGTGATGGTAACACCATTGAATGTCAAGGGCGAAGATGAGATTGACTCTTATTGATGATGGTCATAGCCTGATATTTGTGTGGCGTGAATGTTACTTGGCACTTGTCAGCTCAAGCCTGGGCATTGTCCATTTGAACACGGACTGCTTCAGTATCTGAGGAGTCACGAATGGTGCTGAACATTGTACTATCATCGGTGAACATCCCCACTTCTGACCTTATGATGGAGGGAAGGTCATTGATGGGGAACACAAATGTTTACCAGGATCTCTCCCTGTCTGAGCAGTGATTTATGTTTTCTGTTTTAACAGGTTGCAGAGGTGATGAATGGAAAGTGTCAGGATATTTACAGACTGCCCGTGCCAACTCCCTGCTCACTGAACACACGTGGACATCCGATCAATCTCCGTGTTCCATCACCACTGCCTCCCACAGAGAAACAACTTGATATCAGCATGGTAACCCACAGCCAGCTATGCAGCAATTCCCCACATGGTGACGGGGCGGGGGTCTGGGTCTGTGTCTGTGTCTCCCCCCTGCCCCCACACGGTGACGGGGCGGGGGTCTGTGTCTGTGACTCCCCCCCAGCCCCCCACACGGTGACGGATGGGGGGTCTGTGTCTGTGACTCCCCCACACGGTGACGGGGCGGGGGTCTGTGTCTGTGAGCCTCCCCGACACAGGAACGGGACGGGGGTCTCTGTAACCCAATAAGTCTTTCTCTGTTCCCTTTCAGAGTCGCAATAATGCTCCTGGGGTGCCCACCTTACTCTATAACCACATGGATCGCTGGAAGAAGATTCGACAGAGGTGAGCTGGACCATTTCAAGCTGTCAGTTCCTCATCCAGAGCTGTCCATTGCACACCACCCATCCAGATCTCACTTGAACAAGCACACCCTCTTTCCCACTCCCTCACCCAATCACTCCCATACTTCAACCCCAATGGACTCAAACCCCTTCCTTTTCACATCTACTCTACACTGTCCCAATGGACCCAAACCCCTTCCCGTTCACTCCCACTCTACACCTTCCCAATGGACCCAAACCCCTTCCTGTTCAGTCCTGCTCTACACCGTCCCAATGGACCCAAACCCCTTCCCGTCACTCCCACTCTACACCGTCCCAATGGACCCAAACCCCTTCCCGTTCACTCCCACTCTACACCGTCCAAATGGACCCAAACCCCTTCCCGTTCACTCCCACAGTACAGAATTCCAGTGGACCCTGATCATTTTCACAATATGTGTAACTGCTTTTTTGTTTAACTGTGGACCTGAATTCGATGTGAACAGCCCCCAGTTGGTCTTGACATGCCTGACCTTCCTGTGTTGTCTTTCTGTAGGTGGAGAGAAGCATCTCACCGGAACCAGTATCGTTACAGGGACAGCATGAAGATCCTGAAGGAAATGTTTGAGCGTCAGTGAGGGCTCCCAGGACCTCCTGTCCCTGCTTGTGACCAGGTATTGCAGTTGCAATGCCTTCATTTTCCGTTATCTGCCCAGTTCAAGGAGCGAGGCCTGAGGGACTGTTGTCTTTCCTATTGGCCCAGATTGGAGATGGCCACAGTTGTTTTCGGCACTCTGTTTATGCCTCCCCACAAGCTTTGTTTTCTTGGCCTAGGTTCTGAGTCACAGGAAGCAGCTACGTTAGTCACCTCTTGCTTGCTGTGGGTTGTTGGCTCCTGGCTGAACTGGGAGGAGCTGGGCACGCTGTGGGCTCTGGGATAACCAACTGCCAGCTCCTCATGGAGACACGATGTGGCCTTGCTGTTGCAGCTGAGTTGATTGTTATGGATCTGCTCGTCTCACCTCGTCTTTTATGGGCGAGCAATCGACTTTAATAGGTGTATACATTCCCACGTGTACATGTTCCTGTGGGTCTCTGTACACATATTGCTATGTATGTGCAATTGTGACTGTTCAACTGGCTATATATGTCAGAAACATAAACAGAAGCTGCTGGAAAAGCTCAGCAGGCCTGGCAGCATCTGTGAAGAGAAATCAGAGTTAACGTTTCGGGTCTAGTGACCCTTCCTCGGAATTGAGGAAGTTCTGAGGAAGGGTCACTGGACTCGAAACATTAACTCTGACTTCTCTTCACAGATGCTGCCAGACCAGCTAAGCTTTTCCAGCAACTTCTGTTTTTGTTTCTGATTTACAGCGTCTGCAGTTCTTTCGGATTTTGTCTGTGTATGACAATGTTTGTATAGATGGCCTGTGTGCGAGGATATAAGTCTTTGCTATACCTGTTGCTGCCCTTTGTGTACGCATGTCTGTGCGTGTGCATTGATGTTTATGGTTGAACCGTCCAGGATTGGACTGCAGGCCATTCTGTGACATTAGTAATTGGCGTTGCCACACTCCAGGCCCTCCAACAGCCTTGGCATTATGAACACACGGTAGGGTCCAAACAGAGCAAATATGGTACCCCCTTTCACACTAATTCTTCGAGCCAGGCCTGGGACACAAGCACATGGGTCAGAATAAACACACCATTTGACCCTAGCAGTTTGGAGCTCGGACTTCTGACTGGTGTCTCAAATTTATATTTACAAATATAACATTGCTGCAAGAGAAAATTAAAAAAGTGCTTTCAATTAGGTCTGCTTCATTTGTTCAGGTCTGTACAATGTGGTCCAAAATAAATAGTCACCCTTCAAACCAGCCAGACAATTTACTCCTGAGTGAGACATGAGGCAGAGCTTCCTGCTCTGCTAGGGACTGTCCAGTGACCCCTAGCTTAGAGAGAGACAGGGAATCAGCCAGAGTTCCTGTTCCTCATCACTGTCACCCCTCCTCGTTCCTTTTTTGCATTCCTGCCAGTTCTCTGCTACCTTTCTGCACACACAGCAGGTTCTGTTATTCATGGCACCTTTCCCAAACTATTGTCTGTTACACATTCACCCCTGTTTATTACTCTTTTACCCTCCCTCCTGGTTCCAGTGGTATTTTGTGTATATACCTCCTCAATGATGGCAGATGTTGTCACATTGCATTTTATCCAGCGAGAATAGCAGCATTGCTAGCTCTGTACTGCACACAGCACCACGCTAGGGTGATATAACAATCAACCCACCCCTAACCTTTGTGACAGGCCTGCCCCCACCGGTACTGTACCCCGTTGTTATACAGCGACAGACCTGTCCCCCACCAGTGCTGTATGCGTGTTATAGGAAAAATAGCAAGCTCTCACAACAAGTAATGTGAGAAAGACCCAGTTTATCTATTTATTTTAGTGATGTTGGTTTAGGAATGAATAGCAGCCCCAGGGGAGAACTCCCCTCGTGCTTTCCTCTCCTCCAAATAGTGACAGTTCAATCTTTTATGCCCAAACAGAACAGCAGAAGCCTTTGTTTAATATCACAAATGAAAGGCAGGACATACGACAGCACAGCACTCCCTCAGCACTGACCCTCCAAGCGTGTGGCACTCCCTCTACGATTAGCAGCAGTGCTGTCCTTGGGTTACTGGTTGATACTCTCAAGAAGCTGACTGGAGACCAGAATGTTGAAGCAATGGCCTCACAGGGATGAGGCGTGTAGAAGGCAATCTGTTATGACCTCTATCCATTACGCTCTATGAATGCTGGTGCACAGTCTGAGAAAAATGTTCACCGTTTGTGACACTGCCAATACCCCCCAACCGTGCCTCTCAAATACACGTCCCACGCAGACTCACCACACAACCTCCCCTGCCTCTCTCAACCAAACTCCCTCAGCTTGCGCGTGCACTCACTCACTCACTCACTGACAGACACCGCTGCCTCAGACCCACAAGTACAGTCACACAATCGTCCATTATCAGATGGGCTGGGCCCCTTAGCAATGGCTGACAAGATATACAATCAATCACTGGCAATTTTATATATTTTTAAAACAGTGTTAGGGAAAAAAAAAAAGACATTTTAAAAGACAAATCTAAAATCCTGTACACATTAACCCATCCCCACCCTCCCCACCTCTTCAGACATTTCCCAGTGATACCTCAAGACAGTCTTTGGTGCAATAAATTAAAAAAAAGATAAAAGGCTAATTGTCACTATGCTCTGAAATTAATGCTTTCTCACGTCTCCCCTAATTAATTTGAAACTCCATCTCCCAGAGTCTTTTTCTCAGTTACAATCGCAGAGAGTGTGTGTGGGGAATAGAGTGAAGGCCAGAGATGGCTGGGTGCTGTTAACACTGAACACTACGACTGTTATTCAAAGTCTCCCCTACTTTGTCCCACACCTCAAAATAGGAAGAAAGGGGGAAAACAGAGAATGTGACATTCAGCAGTCTCCAAAAGACCTAGAGAGTTGAGCTGTGTTACCAGCAGGAGCTCTCACATGCACACGCACACCAAATTGATTCTCACAAAGGAACCAGCAGTCAGTGTGATGCCAGACTCGGGAACCTACAGGAAGGATGAGCATGTGCCACAGGGAGGTGTGGAGAAAAGAGTGATCACAGGAGGATTGAGCGGAAACAGAGGCCAGGGGTGCAAGGGACAAATAGAAGGGTGAGTAGGAGGATAGAAGAGTGAGATGGAACGAGGGACAGAGATAGTGCGTGCACCCTGAATGTATGAATCCTGCCAACAATATGGATTTTGCTGACTACTCAGGAAGCAAAGGAAAGGGAGGATGCATGGCGACAGAGGCTAAAGGATTCCAGAAGACTGCCTATCTGCACGGTCACATCACTTCAATCAAGTCACCTTGCATCAGTATTTATAAAGAGTGAAAGCTAACAGTGGGATCAGAAAAGCAAGAAGCAAAGTGTGAGCGCGGAAAGGAGCATGAGACAGAGAGCTACAGCATGAGGGCAAGATAGAGGGTGAGAATATAAGAATGAGAGAGACAGAGACAGAGTAAGGAAGGGATGTGGTAGGGTGGGAGGGGGGAAATGACTGAGAGAAACAGCAAAGGAAACTGCTCCTGGAGACACAGAGCAGAACTCCACGATTACCTCAAGCTTAAAAATAAAACAAAACAGCCCGTTGAAGCTCTGGCACAGACTATTAAATAAATAAAACAATTTTACAATTACAGTTGAGCTCAGATTAGAAGGTTGCAATGAAATATTCAGGGACCCTCAGCGCCCCCCAACCCAATTCCATCTGCTGCCACCCCTGACCCATGCAGCACTTGATCAACATTATGGCTTTTATTCATTTCCATTTGTATATAATATATAGATTTTACTTTCTTTTCTGTGTCAAGTTATCATCAGGAAGTGGCTGCAGAACTTTGTGGGGAGCAGAAGCCCATCATGGGCGTGCTGTCTGGCTCAGGCCTGTAGCGATGCTGGTTTGGAGCCCTCGGCAGGCTGTCAATATCAGGGCCTGGGGGCACTGCGGGAGGGTAAAGGCTGTGCCCAGGCAAGGCAGTCCTAGTCCGAAGGTGCAAGCCTGAGGATCCTCGCTGGGTGGAGTCCGGACTCTGGGGGGAGAGGAGGAGGAAGGCGGTGTGGGCTGAGGAGGCAGCTTCAGGTACCAGGGGCGGGGAGCCAGACAGCAGGTGGCGATGGTGGTGATGGTAGTGGCGCTGCTGAAGAGGCATCGCCACTCTGGCAGTCCCGAGGCGGTACAGGCGATGTTCCTCATTACCTTGGAGGTGCTGCTGTTGAGAGCCAGTCGCGGGGTGAGGGGGCAGTGCTGGGTACAGGCTGCTGCTGTTGGCTGGTGTGTCGCCGTTGCTCCACAGCCGCAGCTGCTGATGGTGCACCGAAGGTGGCCGTGGAACCTGCAAACACAAAAAAACAGCAACATCAGAGCTCACGGTCCCTTTGGGTTAACACGCAGCAGCCTGTCACCAACAACAAAAAAATACTACGCGGATGGACACAGTACCCCAGCCCCAGGCAGCTCTGGTCTTAAATCCCACTCACTGCTGTCAGCTCAGGACCAGGGCAGGAGCCAGGGCTCTCAGCTCAGGGTCCCTGCCCACTGATCGCAGGTTAGAGAGAGAGAGAGAGACAGAGGTGGGAAATCAGCCAGGGCTCCTGCTCCTGATCACAATCCAGTGATCCCGACAGACGGAGGATATTCTGTACTTAATGTGCAAATGTTGCCCAGTGAAGAGTGATGGATCATCCTCCACAATATGGCAATTCAGCTCTCCTGCCTGATCACTCACCCCACCCCCATTCAATCAAATCAAGGCTGAACTGTATCTCGACTGCCCTTGTTCTGCAATCTCCTCTCCTTCCAGAGAATATATAGTTTCACAAATCCCTTAATTACTGCTAGAGTCCTCAATAAGGTCATTGTTTCATCTCAAGGGAGAAGCAGCAGGCAGGGCCAGTCTGTAAGTGCTAATGGCATTGGGTAGAGAAAACCTCCAGACAGTGATGACCCTGCAGCCTGGTAAACCGCTCAGTTATCGGGTCCTGTTGCAGCCCATTCCCCAGTCAGTGTACACCACATGCGGCAGTGTTGGGGGGTTGGAGGGGGAGAACATGCTTCTGCCTGGCCAAGGGGCTGCACTCACTGACTTCACACAATTGGAGGAAGTCAGGGAGCTGACTCTATCATGAGCACCCTGACAGCCCATTCACCCTGAGCTGCAGTCTTTCCAGTTTCCCACTATCACCTCCGTCTTAAAGCTGGAGGCACAGAGGCTGGCCCTGTTCTGGAGCTGAATGCAAGGGACTGGGGTGAGAAACAGCGAGAACCTTCAATAGCAATCCACACGCCCAGGACATTGTCTGATGTTCAAGGGAGTTTGTTCTTGGTTGGTGCCAGCAGAGCAGTTTGGATGGGGATGTAGTGTATGTGTGTGTATTCCCACTGCCGTACTTCACTGGTACTGAAAGCATGCAGCGCGGGTTGAAAGCATGAATGGAAAGCATTGCTTTTGAACATTCCCGATGCTGCTGCAGAGACAGTGATTCAATTCAAACATAGATCCTGAAAACCCACTCTCCCCACATTCTCCGAGGGATCCAGCAATTCAAACACAGCCCCAAGAAGCCGGCCATCAGGACAGCACACCATCACTACTGCCACAGAGGGAACAGGCAGTTAGCCACAGCAGAAATAGGAGGAGAATGAGTCAAATTTAACAGACACACACACACGAAGGCATAAAGGTCAGGATGGGAGGGAATGAAGGGGAAGAGAGAAAAGATGACCAAACAAGCAGGAACCAACATACATACATGTCCATCTAGACAGAGACACACACATATAGTAAGAGAGACAGAGAGACACACACACAGCAAGACAGAGACATTAATGAACACAAGGAGAATTACATACACATATGCAGAGACACACACAGATAAACACAGAGAAAACACACACACACAGAAACAGAATGAAAACACACACATATTTCGGAATCTGCATTTACAAACAAGATGAAAAAGATGGACGTTCTCTGGGATCCAGGACCCTGGCCAGCTGGTCTTCAGAATGTACAACTCAATAAAGACCTCTGTGTGTTGTCTCTGTTTCCATTCAGAGTCACTTCCAAACGACAGCACCTACGGAGGGAGGGAGGAAGAGAGGGAGGGAATGCTGGAACTTGCAGAAGATGTGAATGGTTTGTCATAGGCTTCTCTGCTTCAGGCTCCAAGGCCACGCTGCAAACTGCTGGCAAATCTTCGCTGTGGCAGACGTGCTGTGCAGGCCAGGGGTTTGTAAAGGGACCATTTGTCAATGGCCCATCAGCCTACCACTCCACCCACCATGCACTGATTGAAGGCTAGGTCACTGAGCCAAGAGGTTCGGAGACTCCGTACCTGTGGACTGTGCATTTCATAGTCTGTTTGAGCCTCGGTGCGGTTGAAGTAACGGTTGGTGTAATGTTGATTCTGGTTGTCACCTGAAGACCCACTGGAACCACCTGGGAGTAGGAATGGTGAATAGTTAGCAGAGGAGACGCCCAGGGGCAGGTACACATGGGGGGAGGGAGCACAGGGAGAGACAGAAGAGAAAGAGAGGAGGACAGGTGACAATAAAACAGAAAAGCCTAGCACAGACACAGCACAAATGTACAGCCTATCCAGCCAACACTAACACCACAAAAAAAGCAGCAAGAAAAACCAAATGTTAAACTGGCCAAGGAAGACAACCAAAACCCACCGTCACAGCACCATTAATCAACGATCTCAAAAAGAAATGTGTCACCAAATCAAAATTCATCATTCAACAAAACAACTGTGGACCAGTGCAGTGTGACAATTAAAAAAACATAAGTACTGTAGATGAAGACATAACACATCCAAATGACAGTAAATGTACCCCACTGTCATACAGTGACAGACCCGTCCCCACCGGTACTGTACCCCAGTGTTATACAGCGACAGACCCGTCCCCACCGGTACTGTACCCCAGTGTTATACAGTGACAGACCTGTCCCCCACCGGTACTGTACCCCAGTGTCATACAGCGACAGACCCGTCCCCACCGGTACTGTACCCCAGTGTTATACAGTGACAGACCTGTCCCCCACCCAGTACTGTACCCCAGTGTTATACAGTGACAGACCTGTCCCCCACCGGTACTGTACCCCAGTGTTATACAGCGACAGACCCGTCCCCACCGGTACTGTACCCCAGTGTTATACAGCGACAGACCTGTCCCCCACCCAGTACTGTACCCCAGTGTTATACAGGGACAGACCTGTCCCCCACCGGTACTGTACCCCAGTGTTATACAGTGACAGACCCATCCCCACCGGTACTGTACCCCAGTGTTACA